TGGAGATTTCGTTTGGAGATTATCATGGAAACTTTACAGCGTAAGGAACGAAGTAAGCTTGATATGATACTTCAAAACGTACGTGTTCACTATAATATTTTCTATCGAATATAACTGATACGAAACAAGAATTAATTAACAATTTATAAAATCGTATCATACTTTTTCTACAAAAGCATCCAAAATTAGATGGTGCAGAAATTTCAAGGATGATCTTTACTTCTTTGATAATTTGAAATTGAATATCTCTCACCGAATTACGATGAAAGGCAATTACTTATTGTTTGGACGACCAAAGATGTACGAACTGGAAGAATGACACTTTGGACAAGTTGTCTCGAACGAATAAAACTGTAATTTTTTATGGGGATTTTGTGGGGATTTATGGGGATGTTTACCTTATCGCAGATTATTTACAATGACTTTAATGTAATAACCGTAAAATTACTACATGGATTAATTGAGAAAAAATCCAAATTGAGGATAAGAAATCGAAGAACGATATGCAGCCATCAAAAGTACAGTACATTATTATTATTATTTTATTTTTTTATTTATACTTGGTCCATACCTTTCGGCTTTGGACGACTTTCGGTTTACATCTCTTATATAATTCCATTACACCACTAACTAATAATTCCATTACACGCTAACTCTTCTATAACTATATACCACCGCTTATACTTAACTATTGCACCTTACTTAATCTATCTCTATGTACTAACTTATAACTAACACTTATAACTAATACAAGGGAAAATTAAAACGCTACAATCAAAATTACTAAGAGCAATACCCGAAACTCTATGGCACGTGAGAAACGATGACATGGAATGTCTTAGGTGCCCCATCAGTTGGACAAATGCTCAATAATGAAATACTGTATAGTTGCAATACTAACAAGATTGAGTAGATATAACGTAGAGATAACGGTCTAATGGTTGATACAACTCTTTCTATAGCGAGGTTCTTTATAGTGTTTCTAGAAATTACCATCGGTCAAGTAACTACCATTGTTTATTTGGCACCATACGCTAGCTGAATTGTAAATTTTGTAGAATTTCAAAAAATTATTACAACGAATTTCAACAAAATTATCAAGATATTCGTGAAATCAAAATTCATGAACCTGTACATATCTCATTTGCTTCTTTATTCTTCATTCTTGCGCGCAATGCTTTGTAGATTATGATTGTTAATGAATTTCGAATTACGACGTGGAAGAAAATTTGTAAATAGTTAAGATTGAAAAATACCAAACGAAATAGAAAAAGGGTCATGATGTTTGTAAGAATGCGAATAATGATATTGCGCATACTTCATTATTTTTAAGATAAACACTGTACGTCACACCAAACTCGCTCTGTGTTTACGCTTATAACAGAATAGTTCTAGCGGTAACTCATAAATGGCACATAATGTCATGTTTCATTGTAGTAACAAATGTACATCTAGTTTATGTTGCTATCTTCCAAAGTTAGTTAAAGTGATCCGGTGCGAAATCTCGAAGATGCGAAAATATTAATCAACTTCAAGAATCGCGGATAATGTGTGAAGCAATTAATCAATTTGAAAAGACAGATTTAGTCCGCTACAGTCCTACGATATTCAAGAGATTTTAAATTTAAACTATAGAAGAGCAGTGAAAATCCGAAAAACCTGTGTTGCTCTCTCTTCAACAGCGACCTGTACGTTACCTCGTCCGCAAATCGGATTAACAAAACGTATTCTAAAAGCAGCCTAACAAAAGATATTAAACCAGCTTAATGAGCTGAATGCTCCTAAATTCCGCAGCACATCTCTTAATAAAATCTACCGTCTTATATAACCCTCTTGCAATATATTGAAAATGAGGTAAGAAATTTAAGAGAGACGTAAAGTAGGCAAATTACACATCCGAGATATTAGAAGCAGGGAATCCCATCACAGGCTATAATTAAACATTACAGGACATTATAAGCGGAACGCACAAAGTAAAATTTGTTGTAGCTCAGTTTGCACGGCACCGTTGATCTACGCTCCGGAGATCAAGTTAGGCTTGGAAGCAATGCTGGATGCATGAATTATTTCAAAAATCTTACAATCGTCGGCAAATAGTAGAGATCGACGATATTACGGACCGTCCGAAAAATCATTAATAAAAATTGTAGATAAGCTCAGGCGGGATTCCCAATGAACGTCTGAGAACGTTAACTATGGGTGCGAAGTACAGACCGCCAATTCGAACACGCTGTTCGCTACTGTTCAGATAGCTTACTGTCCATGATAACACTGGATCCTTAAATCCCATTGAAACCAATATCGCGTTAAGAACGGAATGTGATGTCAAACGTTTTTTGAAAACCAACGTGCACAGTATCGATTTGGTAATATTGTTCGAGAACATCAAAATGACAATAAACCTAATGAAAGTTCTAATAGAATCAACTGTTAGATTCTTGAAAACCATAGGGATTGCATCGATAATGCATATTGACCTGTAGTTACTCACGTCGGTTTAATCTCCGGATTTAAATACAGGTTTTACGTAACTGAATTTTCACTCACTCGAAAAAGCATCGGAGGATTTGAGACGCCAAAAATAATCCATAAAGCTTGACGTAGAATGAAACTACAGGAAACTTGAGAAAATTTGAAGAGAGTCCTTCGATACCATGTTCTTTAGATGTGTTTAGTTTATTCAATTCGGGGAGTATGTCACCAATGCTAACATCTAGATTAGATAACAGAATGCTTTGGACTTATTCGAATACCGGAGACGCAACAGATCGAAAAGTATGTGCAGTAGCGAAATGAAAGATTAACGTATCCGTTGTCGATTAAGGATTATCAGTTTTAATATCATTCAAATACATATTGTTCAGGAATTTACAGTTATTGCGATGACTGTTCACAAAACTCGAGAATATCTTCGTGTTATTATAATCTAAGATTAGCCGCTCGGTATTGTTAATACAACGAGTGTAGCATCCTTTTGATACATTTTTGCATTTAGTACGTAAGTTATTGACAAGTAAACAATCACCATATGCACTGGTACGTTTGTAAGTACGGTGAGAGCGTTTCTTTAACCGTACAAGATTAAGAAACCGAGGAGAAAATCATACGAGGAATATGAAAATTGTTACGCAACGGTTCGAAATTAATAAATCGATACCATTGTCTACATTACTCCCATCTAATGGAATACTACTACTACGATACATCCCATCTAATGGAATCCAAATAATCACAGGAGCGCAGTTTATCAACAGAAAAAGGCAATGAATCTTCCATATCGAAAGAAAAGCATAAATTCAGTAAAGAACTAAACTTCTTGCAGACATGGACTTCTTGAGCCAGGCAGCAATAAAAAAAAGGTTTCACTAAATATTCAAACGACATAACTTCATTCAGACCACAGTCAGAATCTTAATGATGGAACATTACTATCCTATATAACACGGGATAAATTGAAATTGCCAAAAATGTAAATGCAAATGTTTACCAGGATACTAGTTCGTAACTTTAACGACGCATTTGAAATGGATCTAAACCTCAATCGGCACACCATTGCTTCTCGAAAAACTGACAAGACAAGATCTGTCGCACCGATAGAGGTTACATCCGGAAAAGCCGAGCTCCTCGAACGATACACGAAATCATACGTTGAAGGTGCTGCAGCTTAGGGGAAAGCTCCTCACATTTTGCAAGTGCACCAATAGCGATATTGTGCTCTTCTTGGGCGTAGAGCAGTCGTTACAATTTTACGCATGCCACGAACATAACATAAAAATTAAGTATTAGAAGGATCGATAATATTATGTTACTTGATTCTCAAATCAGTCCACGATAGAGCAAATGCACAGACTTACAAATGAAATAATTCTAGCATTAGAAAACAAACAATACTGCACAGCCCTCTTTATGGACATCGAGAAAGCATTTGACAAAATAAACCACGAAAGTCTACGTCAATCAATCAGAAAACAATTCCCGGAGCAGATATACCATTTAATTAAATCTTACTTAAGCAGCAGAACCTTCGTAGTAAAAATCAAAGACACATACTCTGAAGTTAAAGAAATCAAGGCAGGAGTTCCGCAAGGAAGCGTTCTAGGACCAATTTTATACACATTATACACGGCCAACATACCAACAACTTCTAATAGCAAGATACTGACATTCGCGGACGACACAGCGGTACTAGTCAGGCACACTGACCCTGCAACAGCAGTCACATCACTACAAGAACATATCACAAAAATAGAAAAGTGGCTTCAAGTTAAACAAATTAAAGCAAACCCCGATAAATGCAACCACATTACATTCACACTGCGAAAACAGGTACCTCCAAACATTACACTGAACGGCAAATACCTAGGACTCCACTTAGATACACGATTCACTTAGATACACGATTATTAAATCTATAATAGACAAAATACAATTAGCAAGGAGACAAATGTATTGGTTAACAGGTAGAAGATCCAAACTAAGCATAGAAAACAAATTAAAAATATACAATACGATCATAAAACCAATTTGGACGTACGGAATTCCACTTTGGGGAACAGCAACAATGAGCCATATAAGCGAAATAGAGACAATGCAAGCTAAAATTCTTAGAACAACCATATAAGGAAACTAGAGACAATCCAAGCTAAAATTCTTAGATCAATTGTAAACGCCCCATGGTACGTTAGAAACGAGGACATACGGAAAGACCTTGGAATACCAACGGTCAAGGAAGAGATTAGCAGATTCGTAAGAAGGTACAGAGAAAAAATAGCAACGCACCCGAACCGGCTGGCAGTGGAAACGATCAACACAACCATAGAAAGGAGACTAAAAAGGAAACACCCAGCAGACCTCACAAAGGATATATCTTAACAAACACGAAGATGGTACCCTATTGGGGGTAGCCACCCACATGATAATCAAACAGATAAAAAATTCTACCAAATGTCCAAATTGGACAAATTGTGAACGTGAAATTTTAAATAAAAAAAAAACTCGGTTCTCAAATTATTCAGCAATGACCGTTGTTTGACAGTTTGACCCTGTAGAATTCTGACAGAACTCCGATATCTGTCTTTGTCTCCTAATAACAATAACGGGAAATTTGGCACACACACAGGCCTATGTCTATTACTACATGCGATTCTATCAAGGTGACGGATGATAGATAATATCGACGTTACGAGCATCAGGTTGGATGCTACTTAAAAGAATCTTGATCGACGTTGCGTTAGAGATTGCATCACTCTCAGTCAAACCAAAGGATAAGATTTTTGAATGTACTGTTTCTTTAAGATCTCTAAGATATCGCATTCCAAATTACTTTCTACACTTTTGTCAATTCTAGCTTGATTATTTTGCCGTTGATACCCATCAAAGTATTGTTTAGCAATCCGAAATTCGATTGGGAAACCTCTAGCTGATGTTCCAGTTTACTAAATTTCGATTAAAACATGTCTCGAACCCTGTCAAGCAGCGCTTTGTCTGTATTTACATCAGCCATTGGAGACGTTGAAGTGCCGGTGGATGTCGAACCATATAAGGAGTCTATCAGATTGCTATGAATGAGAGTGTCTAGCCAAAGAGGAGAATCCCGGGTGTGATACCGCTCCACTGGGCGTGCAAGTAATCGGATTAGCTATTGGTACAAATCCTTCCATCCTTTACAAATCTGCTTCTTTGGAGCTGCCATAGTCCCAAGGGAGAAATAACATCTGCTGAATGAATTTGTTAAATTGAATGATTTATAGACATCGGAAGATCCAATACATCCAAACGAATCGATATATGACACATCAATATAGCTAGGCTTAGCGACAAATCTAACCGTGGCGGTTATAAGAAAAATGTAGAAGAATGGATTATGTAGAAAAGAGCGAAGAAGAGGTTGTGCCCGGAAGATGCGCGAATCACAACGAAACGAATAAACGAATGCTATGCAACGCAACACAGACTGTATGCGGAGGGTGTAAAGATTCATAAACTGGACCTAGAAATCAAACAAGACTATCAAGACTCGAAGAGACACCGAAAACACGTCCATATTTTAGTATCGAGGAAATTTAGGTATAAATTTTTCCCCGACTATTTACAATTTATTTACAATAAATTGTCTGTACAGATATTAATTAGACAGAAAACGATCTGTCTTTATCTCATACAACTTTATTTCAAACAACTCTCGCAACTCAACAACGCTAACAATTCTACTCCCCGATTTCTCGACTAACTCAGATTCTCCATTTGCACCCACTTCTCGATTCGCACACTTTGACCTCTCGTTCAACGCTCTTTGAACTCAAAATCTAGCGTTCTTTTCTTTTTTCTTTAATCTCACCACGCTCATGCTCCGCAAAAACTAGGTGACCTTAGTCACATAGGTTTTCTTCGATGTAAACTAACAACCGAACGGCAGACGACACTGTTTTTATGATTCGATCGATCTCTAATTAAGCCCTTTTTCTTACGATACTACAATATTCGCCGAATGTCAAATAAGCTCTCTGTACTCCACTACAAATTGTCTGTCTAATTTTTAACACGCGGTTTACAATTATTAGTAGTTGTGGTTATTTTCCACTTCCTTTCTTCAAGAAAGTTATTCCATTTCTCGGACAACGGAATGTCATCATCAGACATACAAATTTCTGTACCATCATTACTATCACCATCCTTGATCAGTTAGCCTTTTAATCGAAGGTCCATGATCGCTGTAGACACGAAATGCTCCATGAAAACTAAGACAGAAAAAGAATATAAAACTAAAGTTTGAAGCTAGAACAGAAGCGTGATCACTTATGTAAAGAGTGACATTTAATTGTAAATACCAAGCGAAAGACGCAAAATATTTCCATCCATTTTTCCATACATAAATTTTTGTCTCATGTAGGTACAGTGCTGGCAAGTTCAGTTACCTTGAGTTTAAAGAAAGCACAAATTTGTTCAATATTGCCGTGTATTTTGGTAGTCAAAGTTTCACCGATTTTTTTGAACTTTTTGGTAACAAGGTGCAAAAGACCAAATACAGACGTAATATTAGTGAGATTTTAGGTAAACATCTGAATCGAGTGAGCGATGAAACTCCACACAAGTCGCATGTAGTCGGATTTGTCACTAATTTACCACAGTCTTTACAAAAAATTAACGTAGCATCTTTTATTGCTTTAAACATTTCAAATAGGAATAAACAAACACGATTTTGAGAAGTTTCAGATCTTGAAAATAACAATCTACACGTACGATCACCCAGAATCAAAACAAACAGAACTAGCGCAAAATACGCCTAACTTGCTCAGAAGAAAAATCAAATCCCTTCCTTTGTTTTTTTTTAATTTTTTCGTATACGAAAATTTGTTCCGTCTCTCAAGTACTTTTACTTGGTTAATACAAAATGCACTTTTATACCTTGATCGTGTGGTGGACTTTAATCGTGTTGCTTTAAATGACGAAACGAGATAATATTTGCGATAGTCGGCGATCAAAATAAAATTGGGTTCGTCGACACTAGTTATTTGTAAGCAAAATAAAATATCTGTCATTGATAATGTTTACCAATAATTAAATGATTTAGATCATTTATTCATAACATTCGTAACCAACATTTTAAAATTCAAGGTATTAACTCTTATACTATAACTTTAAAAATTTGTCTTATAATAATCATGATGTCTGGAATTAACTGATCGTATTAGAAAACTGTGATCCTGTGTGCTGGCAATGCCATACTATCACCCTATCATGGTTTATATACATCGAGTAACGCTAATACCGGTGGCACATCGAATTTTAACTTTTTGCATTCAGAGATTCTCTCATCGTCTGCCGGCAATACGAACACATCTCTTGCGAAATAATAAAGAACGATATTATATTCAAACGTTGTCTTTTATATGGCACGATGTCACTATCATCATCTATACTTGTTTCTTGTAGCATATCCGTATAAACATCATCTCCACTGCTGCTTATATTGTAGCTTCTGTTTTTGTTTTACCATTATTTTACAAGCATAATAAAAGAATAAGAAATAAAAGAATAAGAAGTAAAAGAATAAGAAGAAAAAGTGCTATAATTTTTTTATTTTTCGCTAAAAACTTAAGGTATTTATATACCATATATTATATATTTAAGGTATAGATTTTTGCACATTTCAAAAAATGTACGTATTTCGCATTTGAAGACAAGCAGATTTTGTAGTGTTGCCATTATATGAAAAAAATAAGTCTATTCATACACACAAACTTTATAATACAAAGGTACAAAATTTCTATTATATGTCCATTTAAATATGGGGGAAATAATTTATTATTATTTATATACATATTATATATCTTTCATACCTAAATGTACATATGTATTTATATGTTCTTTTAAAGCAAGGCTGATACAATTACCTTCTTCGATTCGAAATTCATTGTCTTCAATCACTACAATTCTTTCTTCTATTTCGTAAATTCGGTCAGTAGTAATAAAATCATCATCAGTGAAAATGAGTTGATTGTATAAATTCTTGTAGATGCGATCGGAAATGATTATGGCAGGTACCCTTTCATGTGCATTATTAAAAAGTTTGGCCAAATTATAAAGGCGTTGTTTTCCTTCAGTTCTTCATGAAAGGGACACGTCCACGACGAAAAGCAAATTTTAATAGCGAATAGGATATGAAACCAAGTAGCTGCGTTGTATTTCCATTTTGTTTTCATATTTCGTGTGGCTCTAGTAAAACATGTGTTACAATGTTACGTAATAAACTTCTTTTGGAAAATTTTATGAAATGTTCCACCAATCCCACCAGAGATGGCTTATCTTCACTGTTAGATCCGCTGAACCTTTTAGACAGCCGGTGGAGGAGCTAAACCCACCTCCTGAAGATTTGGTCTGAACTCCTCGATCTTTCGGAGGGAGATTCTTCTTTTGAGATCTTCTAGCGGATCCTCGGGCTTTCCTCACGCGGCTCTCCTTTTTTCGCCCGCACCTGCCTCGTTCTCTTGTTATCGGTACCAGTTTCCTTTCTAATTGCCTGGTTAAGCCAGTATGAGTACAAACTCGAGGAACAGTCCTTTTTTTTTCTTAATGAGGCGGGGAAAATGCTGTTACGCATACCAGGTGACCCGTCTCACCAGGTTATGTGGGACTCGGCAGATGACGTCGCCATGTCCACTGAAAGCCCCTCCTCCTATTCCCTGTATTGCGGTACTCGAGGTACCAACCCGGTACAATCATTCAATATTACTTCGGGTTGGCCTCTACATACACGTACCCATCTTCATCAACAATCATCCTACATTTACTATCTTCTCCTCCTACTTTCCCTTCTTCGTAGAGCCTCCACCTCCCTCTCCTTATTAAGCCGGTTTGTCATAACCTTTGTACAAAAGTTGCAAAATTTCAACCATAGCCGCTCCTCGGCTACCATCTTCTCCACGATCCGGTTCTCTATCCTGCATTCTTCTCCTATCTCGGTCTCCAACTCCACGCGCTCCCCTGTCCATCTAGGGCACCAGAAAAGCACATGTTCGGCATCATCCATGGCGGCTCCACAATCCCAACAACTGGTGTGCGTCTCTTTCCCAATTCTGTGACGGTATCAATTGAAGATATCGTGCTCAGTAAGAATCTGCATGACATGGTAGTTGACGCCCCTCTTCGTTCTGTAGAAGATTAACAGATCCTCAATCAGCTTCTTAGTCCAGTTGTAGGGATTATGGAATGTCCATTCCACTCTCTATGTGTCCTCGGCATCGGTCTTCAGCTTCTCCATTTCTTCGTACGATGCAAGCTCCATTCCATCTGAGTTCTCAACAATCCGCCTCTTCACGCCGTACTGCCTCCACCGTAACCACGCCTTTATGTGTGTGGGCATGTTACCCGTCACCACACACAAGGCTCCATGTGACACTGTACGGTAGGCAGTAGACGTACGGATCATCGCCGCCCTTTGTGCCCTCTTAATGATCCTCTTATTAATCACCTTAACAATGGATGAGGCCCATATAGGTGCACCATACAGGACCACAGACTCCCACACCCCATAGTAGAGCCTTCGAACCCCAGGCCTATACACGTTGGGAAGCAAGCCCCGTATGGCACCCAAGAACCGTTCCGCCTTGTCACACGCCGATTCGAGGTGGGGGAGAACCCCCTAGCATTATCCAACCAAACTTCCAAATACTTCACTGTCTTACTAGTGGAGATCTCCCCCCCC